TTGTGAGGGGGTCGGCTCCTCAGCGTTGCCTATGCAGTTTCCGATGTATGATTTCCTGAGAAACAACGCGCTAAAAATGTCAGAAATTATTAAGTCTAGGACTTTTTTCGGTTTTTCGAGGCTTCACGTATTACAAATCGACGCACCGCTGTCTTTTATCTTTCAGAAGGAAATAAGCATCGAAATATACATATACGCCACATGAAGGGAGTCAAACAGTCAGGTTACGAGACATGATCCTTCCGCTGAACCATTGGGATAAACCAAAAACCGTCGTAGTTCGTTAAAAGTAATCACTTACGATAAGAGAATGAGTACCGACATAAACAAGCGAGACTGGATGATCATTTCTGGCCCATTAACTTTCTTCAGCCCGCCATACTCAAACTTATGCTTGCAGGGCCTGTGTAACACCCCAACAGACCTGACGGACAGAAACTCCTTTGTTTTAACGTCACTCACTCTTTTTGTAGATCGATCGGAGGATTTCTCACACGAGTCGATCACCGGTGATGATCGATCTGATAAGTCCATTCGTTGACAACTTTTCGTTTATCTGCTTTTGTTGTGCGTTGATTCTTATGCGTCTACTGTTTCATCTTTTCCCAGATTTTTGAACCGCATTTTGCGTGTATCCATGTACATATCGAGTTTCTGATGTTTTCGTTCATGACTCTTTTTCTATCGTTCGTTACTTTTCGTTTTTTTGCAACCGAGTTTCGGCGTCGATTCACTGTCATACATTATCTCTCACGGTCAATAAACTGTTTACATATTCCACTCATCGTTTAATATTCATTACTTACCTGTGTGTCTCCAACGAATGCCTGTGTGATGGACACGTTAGGTGCGAACACTCAGGAGTCGGAGTCCTTGACCAAGAAGCGGAAGTTAAACCCAGACCCTATTGATCCCCAGACTGTTCCTTCGCCAAGTCCCCAGGACATTATACCTGGAGTTCAAATTAATCTCTTGCTAAGCCACAACAAATGTCGCCATGTGATCCTTCCCGCATTAATGAGGTGGTTGGTTAATGCCGTTGGTGCAGTCTGCTCTTAGATTTTGGGACTGGTATTCGAAGTGTGTGAATCCAGTCCTTCATATTTTTAAATAACATCGTCATTTTTGTTATTGTACTGTCGGATATTTTGATGGATTGAGCTCTGGCTTGCGGGTGCGCAAGCATGTATGCAAAGTATATACGTCGACGATCGTGACTCTACCTAATGTTTTATTGTGCTGGACTAAACGCGCCTTAAGGGAAGGACGCCTTGTAATGCGCAGCAGGTTTGTCGCATCGTCCTCTAAGCTGGAAACAAAAGGTCTCAACTCGACGTTGCACTTCTCGTTTACAGCTATCCCCCGCAGCTGTCTGCGTTTCCTTTCCCTCTAAATATGCGTCGTCAGCTATTCGTTACACAAATATACTAAGTATATTTGTTTTTTCTCCATATGTGCGCCTGCACGTCTTTTGCATTATTGACTCCTATTTACGTCGTCTGACTCCTTGAAGCTCGCTGTTCTTTTCCTTAGCATGCATGTTTCGTTTATGACTGTTTCTGCAAAGAATCAACCTTGATATAAAGCGGAAAAATAGTACGTGTTGCCAGCAAGTTGGCGGAGAACCCGTGCTACAAGGCTATAAAGCTACAAAGTTATAAACTGAATATTTCCTACCCATATGTACCCTATAGCACTGTGGGCTGCCACGACTTCCACGATGAATCAAGACGTTCCTAAAATAATTTGCATTTGAGGGCATTTAAGACTTCCTCTGGTTAATTTTTCCAGGACCTTATAAAATGTCGCTAAAATCTCACTTGGGGCTCTAACATCTCTCGAGGTGCTTTCGGTTGCGTTTATCGGCTACGTTGAAGAAATTACTTATCCTCCACACCGTTTATCCTTATTAGTAGTGGTGTTTCTAGAAGCACTATGCCTTACCGCCCCCATTGGAAGACTCGAAGTTGCTTATGAGTAATTGGGACTTCTGTCCATTCTCGCTGAGTTCCTAGTGATCATTCCATTTGCAAGCTCAAACGACATCCCCACGTATGGATGTATGGATGCGTGTTTGGCCTGAAATCCTAATTCTGCCCGCAAACGTTATGCAGTTGTTTGAGCCTGTCTATGACAGATCATTGACTTTGGTAGTCAGGATCAACACTTGCACAGACTTCTATGCACCGGTATCTCAGGTGATGTACTTTCTCGAAAGCGTGCGCAGAAAATTCTGCGACCTAGAACACCTGCGATCCCCTTGGTTTAGTCTTCTGCAAGACTGTATCAACGGAGTTCCTCAACAAGCAATTAGTGGTTAACTACGTTGAGGGTCTTGTTGAGGTTTAAGAACACAGCCTCGCCATCCGCTCGGTTTAGGGTTTCCGTGGAACCAAAGAGTTCCGTAAAGCATTTGTTTCTTAAGGTAACCGTTCTGCCCCGGGAGCTTTTAAGTTTGTAGTCATACGGTAATAATTCGTGATCTATGCAGCGCAGGTGGCTACAGTGGTTTGCAGTCGGTCCTCAGTCGTTGGGCGCGACGATCGCTCTAAGACTAGCTCCAAACCTTTTTGGTGTAACTAGTAGCTGGACAATCAGTTTGACAGGGGTTGAGTGCGGAAAATCCGCCCCTGAAACTTATTTATGTCTGCAGTTTTCCAGGTTCCATGATACCCACGGCATGTTTCCCGTGCATTAGGACCTGCACAAGCTCTCCAAACTTATTTCCGCAATTAACTGCATTCGCAAGCATAGAACAGGTCTGATTTTGTCCATTTAGTGTTGATAGTTTACTGGCCTTCTGCCTATGTTGGACAGTTCTTCTGGGAAATTGTTCCGGAGACGGCCAGCACTGTGTAAAGAACGTAACTTTGGTGGATCACTAGCTAATTTTAAATTAATCAAATTTTTTTAAGCTTTACTCGGCCTTTTTCTGGCTTTGTTATTTTCTGCTGACCCCGGACTATTTGGGAGAGGGGGTATATTGCTGCTTGAGGTTGGTGGATGCGAGAGCAAATGGCCTTCTGATTTGTGATTCGTTGCTATGCTCAATCGGTACCTCACCGATCTTCCCTTTCGCCTAGCTTTGCACTTTGTAAACTTAGTGTCGATCCAACTGCAAATGAGCATTTCGGCAGCTACTCTGTTTGTATCTTTTTCGCTTGAAAGTCTCGTTGATCTGTTATTATTGCCATATATGGAACAAGAACACTGTGTCCAGTAAGCTCGTCCCTTTTTGTTTATATCATACATTAAATAGCTTAGGCCACAGCTGTAGCCGTCGACCTAGCTTGTTGAATGGAGACAGTCAGTTCGTTGGAGTGATGCTTGAGTACTAACGACGACCTAGCACTGACTGGCGAATGACTCGGGTTGTTAAACGCGTCACAACTAGGCTAAATTTGACAAGTATTCCGTGCTCTAATGATAAACGTCAGAACGTCGGATATACACACCTCTTTCCCACCTAGTTCTTGTGATAGCAGCAATTTTCCTTCATTTTGACCCCGGATGACGGCATCGTCGTTCCCCCCTGTAGAAATGTCCATACTTTAATCATGAACTGATGTATACAGTGATCGACAAACAGAATTCTGACTCATGGAAGGCAGTTTGTGCCTTACTAAGAAGCTTCTGGTATTCTGTATAACGAAGTCTAGGCGCACAAATGGGCTTATTAATTTGCCTTACCTTTGTTACCCCACATTTCCCCCCACAAATCCTTCGAGACGTTAAAGATACTCCGGATGCCTACTCGACTGCATTCTCATTTTCACTAGATGCACAAATGCTTATTGTGGTGACGTTTCGCCTTGACTTCAGTAGAACAAGTATAGCCACTAGAAATAGCCTGACGTACTCCGGGTACCCACTCAGCGCTTTTATAATATGAACCTAGTGGAAGAGCTTCACTCAGAAATGCATTTCACTTCGGATTTAATGATACGACGGCAGTTGTGGACATTCTACTACATTCCTACAGAGCAGGGCTCAAGACGAACCTTGCTATCATTTTCACTTTTCGGCGCTGTAAATGTTGCCGGCAATCAGAATTCCTTCCTACCACTACTACTACCACTTCTAATTTTTTTACACTTGGTCTCTCGACTTGGTTCGGTTTTTATTTTTATGGAGTTTTAAAGGACGACTGCTCTCGGGCGAACGTTTGGGCGGGATACTTAGCATACTTCTATGATCCTTTCTCTGTGTCAGCATGGCCGGCATTTCACTGCCTTGGTTTGCTCTGGCTTTAAGAACCTGGACTCTTTTATAAAAAGAATTACGGGGAGTCAGACACGGCTGGTGATCCGACCTGCGAGTCTTTCCACCATGCCCGTTTGTAAACTGACGTGAACAAGCACTTAGGTCTAAGAACTGTGCAGACGATGCCGAACTCGGTAGCGTTGTCACTGAAGCCCAAGCTGCCACTGCAAAGTATGTCCACGATTTCAAGAGGCCAGATTTAGACAAATATAGGTGCGGAATTTACAAAATAAATTAGAAAAATAGGCCGACATCAGCGGTTTCTATCCTAAGTCAACTTTTGGATAATTCAGTTTGTTGCCTGATTTACAACACTGACCGTGCTTGCTTAAGCTAAGAGCCCACGCACACGTGTAACCAATATTCTGCCACTGCATGACAGAGCTGCAAGGGGCTCGACTCATCAGTACGTCCTCCAGCGTTCATCGTGAGCTTTCTGGTAGATGCTCTATTTTCGAAATGAAAACCTTTAAATCTCTTCAGAATTAATGCGTCAACTTAAGATCCTTGGAACCTGTATTTGACCGTCAAAGTAATTGCTAGGACGAGTTGTTATCTAAATTGTGTAGTTTTTCCACTTCTGAAGGGAAAATGTAACTCATTCATCCACCTTTGACTAGTGTCCGTTGTTTTTTCCATCCTGACTAACTGACTAGTGGATGGGTGTGTTTTGTCTGTATAGGCACTGACTAGTTGGAACAGTCTTCCACTACCTTTTCGACCCACACATCTCCCACATGAACTCAACGAAGGCATCCACCGAGGAAGCGGCTGCAACTGCTGTCACAACACACGCGGTCGGGGAAAGGAAAGAAACTGAAGCCGAGCTTGAGGCCTGGTGGCAGGAATTTTTGGCCAAAAAGAAGCTCGAGGATGCTCATGATGAGGATGCCAAAGCGGCATGGGAAACATGTGCCCAGCGCAAACTAAAGTTCATCCGTGAGGTGCGTCTCCTCACCGATCTTTATGAACCGATTGGGAAACAAGTCCAGACAATCCTCAGCGCCGATCATGACCATCGGGGCGAGAGGCTCTACCGTGAATGGTGTAAGTGTGTCAGCGACCTCTCTTTTAGTCCATTGCTTCTTTTTACCTATTCCTTCTAATTTACTCAGCCAACTACGCTGCTCACGTTGGAATGAGTAACAACTCATGTTTGGCGCAAGTTTCTCATGTGGCATTGGTTTTGAAAGACCTCGGTCTGTCGCAGGCGACTGTGTCGTTGAACCTCTTTTTCTTATCTAACAGAATATCCTGCAATTACTAGAGAGAAATCCTTGAAACAATGAAAGACATGCCGAACAAACTGACCTCAACCCTGCCGTGTCGCTGGAACCCTGGAAGCACCAAGAGTTCTAGTTCTAGACGCTTGGCGCAAACACATTGGTGTGCTACCGCATCTGAGGCTTTTACGACCGCCTGGGAGAAGTGGGCTTCACAACAAGCTCAAATACGAAAAGACCGTTCCTTACTACCAGTAATTTCGTATGAAGGAAGTCTGTGTGACCTCGTTCAAACCATGCCTGCAAACGCTGAGCCTCCCGACGTATTGAATTAGCCACTACCGCACAATTGCATCGTCCGATGCATATGAAAACGTGACTAGAGACCACCGCATGAGTCCCAAATCTTCGCAGCCACTTCCGTAGGTCAGGGGGGTCTCGGAATCTGTCAACCGTCTCTTCACGCCATTCGCATCTGGGGTTGCACACGGGCCGGGCGCAGTCATCGGCACCAAGTAATGGGGCGGTGAAAACTGCCTACCACGACGGAATTTTTCGTGAGTTCTTTGCAGGATCCGATTCAGTTTCGGACACAGAAATTCCGCCGCAGAAACTGGAAGACCTCCGTGGAAACGGGTGTCCGAGCATGTGGCAGCAGTGAAGAGGAGTGACTGACCTCCAAATCACGACCCGTTTGGTGGAACCTGGCCACACCTCTAACTTCGCCGAAACCGACATTCTTACGTGGGATGACGACCACGTGAACTGTGGGCTGCTTCGGCAATGGTTCTCCGATCCGCAATCCGTCGAAGATATATTAGCCTCCTTCGACATCCGCCCCTCACACTCTGCTAGCCAGAGTTTAGTCACCCAGGGAGCCCAGAAGCAAACGCCAACAATAAGTACTGATGGTCAACGTGCGGCATGTCTTGATTCAGATGCGGGTGCTAAAATAATCATTGCGCCAAATATGGACATCTGCGGTGAATGGAGGAGTTGCTACTTTTGATAAGTACGTGGTTGCATAGCAGTTACACCCAGTAAATACAACAACCGCTTGTGCTTCCTTGATGGTTGGTTCTAACTGGAACCTGAAACGCAAGACGAATAAAATGTCTATTCCAGCGATCGAGTCCACTTATCTTCAAGTCTGCTCGGCTTTTTATTTCCTCTTTGACGAAGTACTTTAAAGCGTTTTCAGAGGTACCGCAACGGGGAACTCTACCCGCTCATTAACAACCCGACATGCCCGTATGTGATCTTACCACCTCTTCCAATGCGGACCCGATTTGACCCTCTCTATTCAAACACATAATTCCTTTGGTCATTTCACATGGACCACTGCCATACCAAACTTGTTTTACGCGCTTTTCAGAAGAATTAGACACTTTGCCTCCTTTGGCCAGTATTTCATCATCAGCTCCAGATACAAATGGAGCAAAAATATCGCCTATCGTGCCGGTCTCCATCATCCATGTGGTGTCTCTTTAATGGTTAAGAGGTTCTTGGTGTTGTTCTGTGAGTTAGAAAAGTTGCCAAGCCGTCCTGACAGGTTTGGGTACGTTAACTGGTTTCATGGCTAACTTTTCTGATTTCTTGGGACAAAATATACCCGCATTTAGAGATGCGGACGCTTTTGTATTTTTATGAAGCGAATCCCCTCACCCGTCGGAGATTCCTCACGTGCCACAGGTCTTTTTTTCGATTTCTCATTGATTTTAAGGCAAAATTCGAAGGAAGGAATGTCTCCTCGCGTACTACGACAATCAGATCTTCCGCGCCATCTACTCAAACTATCGATTCCTCAGCAGTGCAACGAGTTTTCTTCAGGTATCCATCATAAAAATAATTTGACAAATATTCTCATTCCTGTTTAGTCCATAAGGATTTCGTGACTCTCGGCCATGCCGGCCTGTATGCAGTGTGAATATGCCTGCCTACTCATTATTATTAAGTAACCATCTTTACGATCAGGCCCTCACCGAACGCATCATTCCGCAGCACCCCGATGTCGAGGTGTATCTTCGGGACCACGTGCGACGCGTCATCAGTGTTGGCGTCGGGCCCGGTGCTGACATTGCAGCATTTGTGGCGTTTGCCCGAACTCGAGGATTCACTAATCGCCTCGTCTACTATGCCATTGATCAGAGCGATGGATGGTCAACCTTTCTAAATGCCTTTGATCGCCAGTGGTCAATGGTGCACAACGTCTCGATCTGGTTTAAAAATTGGCGCTTTGGCAAACGCGATGACGTCTCCTGTCTCCCCGATGCTGACATGATGGTCTTCAGTTTCTCCAACACCACCCTGATGGACAAGGCTATTTGGCCGCTTCTGCAAGAACGCTATCGGTTTATACTTGTCCTTGATGGAATGAAGGATGTAAGTGCTTTTTATGTCTTTAAGCACTACGCCGTTAAAGCCCATGAATTTGCAAAGAACTCAGCTATTAGTGAACTGTACGTTTGACCTTTGTGCAAGAATTTGAAAGTGAGTCTAATACAATGTTTTCTAGCAGATGGGCATTAGAGATAACGCGAGATTGTCGGTGTGTAGGCATTCATAAACTGACTTCACATTTTCGCCTTCCCTGACTGAGCAAAGGCCTTGATTAACTGATCATATGAGAGGGATTGTAATTCTAGAAGGTCCCTTTACCCCTTGTTTCGATGACTGGTTCAGCTTATGTCACGTTGCCACGGCGACCTTTCACATTTGAAATCCTTGTCAGTGAGGCAGCGGAAGGAAACCTTGAATTCGCCCATGCTCGCCACAGTTACTGGATGAGCCAAGCAGCCTTCTTGTCGTTTGCTTAGACGACCCAACACACATCCCACAATGGTAAAAGGTTGTTTGGTCAAAGTACCAGGCTCTGCCGGGGGGGGGGGGTTGTGTCTTGGGTGCCACAACCATCAGGTTAACTCTCTGTTAGCAAGAAAAAATAGAGGTCAAAATGAGGGGAGTTTATGTTGTACAGAGTCATTTCTGGTCAGATGTGGTTATGTAGCCCCACCTGAAGTAAACAAGCCCCGACCACCTGTAATACGGGACCGGTGGTAGTAGAGGTTTTTACAGGTGGGGCCGGGGAGCGCACAGGCGACCAGGTCAAGCACTTTTACGCAAAGAGGAGCTATTAGGAATGCGCGGTTGTACTCTGAGTGGTTGAGAAATAGTTGCCCTAACCCCCAACTCTAACCTCTATCCCTAACGGTATTTTGTCCATCACGTGAGGTTGCATAACAACATCTCACCCAATTTCTTGCTGTCTCCGGCGTCAGTAATCACTGGCGAGGTCAGAGCCTGTGCTAACGGTGTTAAATCATGCCTGATGATGAGTAGGAGTGTGGTTTTAGCTGCGTTTATATGCCTTTGAGGTCTGACGCGAGAATATGACCCCCAGCGCTACAGGTGGCCTCGCGCCGAATTCCAGGGTAGTTCCTATTCTAGCATCCTAACCTTAGCACTTAACCTGACCCTTCCGGCCCTAACCCTCAAGCCAACCCTCGCAAACAAACCCCTCCCACAAGGCAACGGGCTCGTGGCCCGGCGAGTAGAGGCGTGGACTTCTAAACCAACCGGTCGCGGGTTCGAGGCTCGGGTGTTCCACACTTCGGGCTTGGGTATGGCTGGCTGATGACGGCTAATAAGCCAGAACTGGCCATTCCAGTCTCCCTTGTCTTTGTCGGTAATGCCATTCTGCCTATGTATCATGCGCCGCTGTGCGGCTGCTGGTTGGGCTCGAGAGAGAGTCCTTAAGGCACAACGGAACGAGTGAGTTCTGTATGAACGATCGGTGAGCGCCCACTACCATTGTATATTCCCGATCGAAAACCGACAGGGCAACGGGCTCGTGGCCCGGTGAGTAGAGGCGTGGACTTCTAAACCAACAGGTCGCGAGTTCGAGGCTCGGGTGTTCCACACTTCGGGCTTGGGTATGGCTGGCTGACGACGGCTAATAAGCCAGAAATGGCCATTCCAGTCTCCCTTGTCTTTGTCGGTAATGCCAAACCCCTCCTCCTCCTCCTCCTGGAATTTAGGACAAGGCCACCAGTGCATATTCGCGCTTCCAACCGTTTCGGGAGTAGTGCCTTGTGTCTTATGTCCAAGTGTTGTATTTCCACATGTGGCCACATGAGTGTGCTTGTTTCACTCATTTAGACTGTAGGGTCAGTGTACCCTAGGCCTTCTGCAGGTCAAGGACCTTTACACAGTGGGCTGTTGAGCGGCCGTGCCGGGCATAGTAAGGAAGTCTGACAAATCCATCTCCATGAATCGTCAACAATCGCTGGTGGTATTTTAAAACTACCCAGTTGTCCGTTGTGTCTAATAAATGGCCTACACTGTTCACGATGTGATTGACGGGTTTATCGCTGCCAAACTAGCCAAGATTGAACTCTGGAGAGTACCCCTTTGTCGCCATCTCAATCTTGATAAACAAGAAGCCATTACTTCTTCAGCAGTCAATCCAGGAGAAGTATTACCCACCCTCATGGCAGGGAACCGTTGTGGCAACCGCGGGGTTGCGTAACAAAAAGGTGCTCGAATAAAGCCCAATTTGTGTTGAAATCTGTAATCCTGGTGCCTCGCCTCTATAACATAAATTAACCGGTAAACGGGGGAAGAGATGAAACCTGATCCGACCAATTCGAGTACAATTCAATGTCTTAAGTGCCATTTACGACGCCAAAGAGGTTTTTGTTTCTGCCTCAACTACCTCAACCTCCTCCTTTGAGAGTATGTCTCAGAGTACGCTGAAGAAGCCTCACCTTCATTAACTACATTCTTTTCCCTTTGCCAGATGGTAGTGACGAACTTTGGCTACGCGGGTTTCTCGGATTTCAGGCTGTCCGAAAAGACGACTGTGTACTATCACTTCGCGGGGTTACCCTCTACCTCCGCTCCAGATCCTACGACGCCAACTGAGTCCCCACTGCCACCGGCGTCACCGAGCTCTGAGGCCAGGGCTGACACCACGAAAGAGTAGACTGAATTACCGAGGTGACTGACCGCGCCCTAATTTGCACCTATCCTGATTGCCACGGCGCCGTCGGTCATCTTCGAGGAAACCGTGTCTCCTGCGCTGTGCACTCGAAACAGTTAGTCAGGCCGCAGCCAGCGGAAATCCGACTGAAGAGAGAGAGAGATCGCTCTTCACTTCTCACCCATTCCTCCGCTTGGTCCGGTTTCATTGTTTTTTTCTAAAGTTACCCATAGAGCCTCTTTGGCCCCACCTGTCTTCCCCATCGCCTCCGTTCTCCAACCACCACGCCCCTTCTGTCTATTTTGTACTGCCAAAACCATATATTTTTAGGCAAATAGAGGTGGAAACAATAGTCACTGGTTGATGTTTTCGAAAGGGTTGGGCTGGAGTCCGGCCTTTTCCCATGCCCTAGTTTTCGGGCTCGTGTGGGACCACGGCGTCGGGAATACGAAAAAGGAACAGCAAGTGAGCGGTATTTTTTACGGCCCACCGCATTTTGACTGCGTGTCCTTGGCCTCACTTGACAGCGATACCGCAGCGTGATGCAGGCAGACCAGTTCTGCGGTTTACTAACCTGCTCTCAGTAGTCAAGGTCTCGAGCAACCCGCTCCGACGCTGACCCACGATGTCGAACTCTTGGCATCCAGGATGTGGTAGGCGACTTTGAACATTATTCACCTCCTTCCACTCCCGCTGGCCAGCGGCTCCTCTGCTGCATGTGAGGCCCCAGCAATCTCCCCCCTTGTGTGTGAAATCCCGATACGTGCGTTGGAGAGCCAGGTCGGAAGTTGGAAGGTTGCCAACTGATGATCCAACTCCGACCTCGCAGTCAGTGTTTGTGTGGACTGACCGACTGGTGGACTAAGAGTCAGGCTGCAATGGCTCCTCACTACGGCTCCTGTGGCACTCTCATCCAGTGGAATCCGAGCCGCCCCTCTCGTGCAAAATCCTGATCAGTGAGCGTAGTGGTACATTTAGCTTTAGGTTCATGTCGTGCCAGTCACGTGCGCCCTTTTGCGCCTTCGGTCTTTTTGCCACCGGGCCTGGCTGGGGAAGGAGGAAGGACAAGGACCCCACGAAGGGAATAAAACCCAGTTCATCGTGTTTGACGAGTTGTATGGGTGGGGCTAAAAAGTGCAAATGAGAGAGCGATAGTAGGTAAACATTCGGATGCATGTTGATATGGCGTACTGCGTCCTTGCGCTGAATTTCTCTGCCGCTATTTGCAAGGGGGCGAACGTATCAGGAACCTGGTCCCCGAGGAATGATCACGGTATCAAGATATCTGTTTTTACAAAAGAAGTAAACTGCCTTCCGTCCAGTTACGAGAGCGCGGAAGTGTCAATTATAAAAAGAGCGAGGACGCGATTCGTTACGGTGGCCTCGTTTTGTTCCCTGAGTCGAGTCGCGTACTACGTCCCTGCCGGAGGAAGTGCGGTAGACGCTGCGCAGGCCTACTATAGAAGAAATCACACGCAAGTCGCCGTCCCTGCTCTAAGCCTGTCGAGGAGCACACGGTAGACGTCGTCGGCAACGACGGTCGAACAGTCGTATAGTCAAAATGTGCCCTTACGATATTTCTTCTGATGATCGATTCCGGTGTTGTTCGCCTGTGTTGGGTGGGTCCTTGAGATCCACACGATCCGCTAAATGAACTATGGATGATACTAATACTTTACCTTGCGGCAATATCCTCCATTATTGCGCCAGCATTGCGCCTTGGTCCGGTCCTATGACTGTCGCTGGATACACGCAAGGTCCGCCGAAGGAATTCGAGAGGCCGTTAGGTGATTTTCAGTTACGAGTTGTTTTCCCATTACGTAGTACTTTTTAAGGCGTCAACTGATTATTTCACGCGCCAGGTCGGGTGGGATGGGGTAATTCAGTCCCGATCTATACATACTGAGGATCCAGCCGGAATACCGCATTCTTGCCGCAGCACCCATGGCAATTCTTCGCTGAGCGGTCAGACACCTCACCCCTCCGAACCGCTTGCGCCGCGACTGGCGCGCGTAGACACGGACTCGTCATAGCGGCAACGCTTAGTTCTAGTCAGCCTCGTCTTCCCGTCGGAATGTGGAGGACACTATGGTAGAGGGTCTGTTTTCCTGTAGGCAGATCCATTCGCACACCATCGCTGCGTCCTCTCCAAGACGAGGGTTGAACTATTCGGCCAACGTTTGGGATCTACAACTCCTGTACCAGTTACTGATTGGGTGCGTTCGGCGAGGACTCCTGCGCAGTGTCTGCGGCTGGCCTCAGTCGCAGGCTGCGGTGCAATAGATAGCCTTATTAGTGAGCTCCGCAGGTGCCGTTCAACGTTACTCTTGTCTTTTTTTAAACTGACTCAGGCTACCCTGCCAGCTCTCGATTCTAAACTGTTAAGAGGGGGACTTTATCCGACTCAAAAACTGTAAGATATTCCAGTTCACCGTTGCCAGGTTTGCATGAGTCCCTCGAAGTGTTGATTGCGGTTGAAGTTCCTCCAGGCTATGAGTAGCAGAGGAGAACGTTCATGGCAACGGTAGGGCGGAGGATTCCCCCTTCTGGACTGCTTGCTACGCGATTGGCACGTGTGTGGCGGACGTAGGCACTGACTCTTCATTGCGTCAACGCTTAACTCTAGTCAGTCTGATCTTGTTTTTTTTCCATTAGGATGTGGTAAACATTATGGTGGAGGGTCAGATTTACTTTATGCAGACCCACTGACACATCATCGCTACGTTCTCTCCAGGAGGGTGGCAAACCTTGTCGCTCGCGAGGGTTGGACTATTAGGCCGACGTTTGGTATCTTCAACTTCTGTACTGGTCGCTGATAGAGTGAGTTCGGGGAACAGTCCTGAGCAGTGTCTGCGGCTGGTTGCAGTGCAAATATGGCCGTATGAGTGAGCCCTTCAGAGGCCGTCCAATATTCCTCTTGTCTCTTTAAAGCTGTTTCAGACTACCCTGCCAGCTCTCGGTTATAAAATGCTAAGAAGGGGGCCTTATCTGACTCAAAAGCTGCTAGATATGCCGGCCCGATGTTGCACGGTTTGCGTGAGTCCCTTAAAGTGTTGCTTACGCTTGAAGTTCATCCAGCAGAGATGGAGAGCGTTCTTGTCAACGGTAGGATTGGGGAGTACAATTGGCTGTCAGGAAACTGAATCGTGTCATACGGGAATGGTGGAAATGGAGGGGGGGTACCGGTGGGCAGCACGCTGACGGAATGCAGGAAAACACAGAGAACAGTCGGCAGGGAAAAGGATACTTCCGAGTAAAATAATAAGTGTATGCAGATACGATATCCAGTTGGATATTCTATGGCCTTCGACCTTGAAAGAGTCCCCAACCATCGAACAACTCGGCATATCCCCCGGCGGACATTTTTTTCATCCTTCAATTCATCCTCAGTTGGTCTCCGTTGTTTGTTTCGCCGCCCCTGGATACAATTACTAGTCATCAGCACTTAACCAGATTTCGCAAGTGTATACATCAGCACACAATCTACACACACCTCTGACAGCTGATTGGGATCCTTCATCGTACCGTCTCCCATATTCCATAAGTAGACTTTTATCAAAAATGCTGTCCCCTAGACGGCAGAAACCCTTGGAAGACGGGACCCGCTTGTTAGCCTATCTGCAAACAACCCGGTCAGCACAGATAGGACAGTTTTCATCAACGCCAAATGTAAAAAGCAGGCTTTTAGGTCTGAAACGTAGACAAGTCAACGTGCGACGATCGATAGTAGGATGTTTCCAAGGGAGACAGGGTTGACAGAACAGTCTTCACTGCGAAGGACACCTACAAGCAGTAAAGAGGCCGACGTCAAAAATCACTCCTTCATGCCAGGATTCAGTCAGCGTTCTGTCTCAGCACGAAATTTGGGCATGCATGTGAATCCTGCTCGCATGCAGCCAATCAGTGTAGGCCAATGTATCGATCGTCACGCTATCGCCACGCCGACAAGTTGTCTTGGCCCGAAGCCGACGTAAAACGAAGTCGGCGGATAGATGCGATCTTAAAAGAAATGAGTGTAACAGTGTTTCGGGGAATTACACTCGAGGACTGTCACGAATATTGTTACTGGAGCGTCAGGGTGAGGAATAAGAATAGAGGGGTATCCATCACTGGCTTATCCATAGGACCTTTCCGATGGCTTCTTTGGATGAGCTACCCTGATCTGGCCGACGTCGACCATGCCTTCTTCAGGAAGAAGGATCCAACAGAACATGACATTGCGGTAGACCACTTAAAACTTCCCTTCATGGGGTGACTTGCGCACACAGGCACACCCAACGACAGCGTAAGTGAAAACAACAAAGTCTTTATCACGTAAGAATCGGTCGATACAGTTCGGGTGGGACCGATTAAAAGACGGTGGGCAACGTTTCGGGAACCTCGTCGGCACTATGACGGTTTCGGCTGACCATCTTATCTGTCAGTCCGAGGGTGTGCCTAATATAGGTTAGGCTGCACTACAGTCTAGATCCGATTTTACTGCCGCCCGAATGTCAATAGGTGCCAGAGGAGGACGGTCTACTCAATTAACTCACTTGTCTGCGGCACAAAGAACCCTGGGGTGACGGTGAGGACACCCAAAAATCGCGTTTGTGATGGAGCTGCGGGCTTTCGGTCGAATCCATGAGCAGCCCAGGAAGGCGAGGAGGGATTGGAAGAATAGGGGCTCAAACCGGGTGTCTTTATTAGTCCTGACCGTAGATGGGGCACTGAACATGGCGAATCAACTGCAGACAACAGCCTTGGTGTCGGCCTCCACATTAGGTTAGAAAATGATTTCAGCGCGGGTAACCAACTCGTCCTCACCCCACGACCACAACGCTGAGCCCCATCTCACGTAAGAGCTGGAGCGCAAACATGGAGTGTCTGGACGGCGCGTCAACCACCTCACTCAGTGATCCCTCGATGCGGCGGATAGCGGAGGTTGACCGGGAGATAAAGCCCATGTTGGCAGTATCCCTCGGATTGTACTCATGCGAGTGCGATTGAATAACTAGCATCAA